AATCTTGTCCAGAGATATGTTGCTTGCCTTCTGATAGCTTTGCATGACATGTATCCAAATCAACCTGTATATCGTCTATTTTGGTTTGAAGTATATATATATCGTGTATATATATTTTTAAACCAGGCAATGTAATACACAAGCGTTAAGACCTGTCAAAGCAAATCATACCGACTCAAGTGAAATATCAAGTAATGTACATGTCAATGTACAATATGCACAAGTAAGTTCAATGACTTATCCTGAAATTTTAAGGAGGGTGCTAGGAAAAATACTCCAATAACAAAAACGTACAACTGTTGCATTCATGTCTAGAACATCGTAGCTCATGGCTTTTGCTATATTCAGAATAATAATTGGGCAACTAATATAGTGTGTCATTAAGTGTTGCAAGAATTCACGGTCACATTTTTTGTTGTGCAGGAGATTTTAAATGAGTGGTATGCTTACCTTACAAACATTAAATGGAAAGAAACTGAGGTGTTGATATCTGGACAAGAAGAGGTGGAAACGTGTCTTCTGTTACAAACATTCAATGGAAAGGGATTGACGTGCTGATATCTGGACAAGAAGAGGTGAACAGGTCTTCTTTAGTATGCCAAGCACGCTGCAGAAAACTTTCCAATTCTAGTTATTGTGACAGATGATACTGATGTCTTTATTATTTGCCTAGAGATGAGCCAGAGTATCAACAGCAGGATCTTCTTGAGACGGAGTTCAAAATCATCTGTGAGGCATGTTGACATCACAAAACTAGCAAACGCATTGGGAAACGACGTTTATAAAGCAATGATATGCCTTCATTCATGTACTGGGTGTGACATGGTTAGCATATTTGCTGGAAAAGGGAAACGGAAAGCATTGAAACTTATGATACGGGATCAGAAGTTCCTGGAACCATTTGCCTCACTCGACAAGGTTTGGACCCTTCCAGATTAAATATTCAGTATTGTGTTCTTGTTCAAAAGTTTACTTGTCAATTATACTGTCGTAACAACAAAGTACTTGAGGTCAATGAACCGCGATTCCAAATGTTCCATAGCAAAATGGGTGAAATCGAATCTGGACATATCCCACCATGTGAAAACTGTTTGCTGTAGTACACACGTCATACCAATTATCAGGCTCCTATTTGGCGACGAAGTCTGATAAACTTCCCAGATATTCCTATCCTTAGTGCAGGACACGAGTGGGTAACATATCTCAGCAGCAATCTAGTTGTGCAGTGGATGACAGATTCCCCAGCTCCAGATGTCGTCCTCAGTCTAATATCATGCAAGTGTGCTTGATATTTTCGACTTACTTATTGCACATGCATTATATATAGCCTGAAATGCACAAAGGTGTGCAAAATACTTAACTGTGCTAACATGGCGACTGATCAAAAAGTTAATAAAGATGTACAAGATTCGTCAGGTAGTGACGACGAGTAAACACTTCATCCAGCCATCTTCCATGCAGCTTTTCTATTCTTTAGCTGTCAACCATCACAGCCTGTATCTATTCATTGGTTAACTCTATCAATTTTGTTGGTTTAACCAGTACTAGTATTTTGCTGACTTTTTTTTTTACTTGGTCTACAGTTCAGAAATTGTCATGCCTCAAACAAATGTCGGGGAATAAAGTTTATGCTGAAGGAAACGTGTTATAGTTTAATTAAACAAGTTTTCAGTTTTGAATTTCTGTATTAATACGCCTCCCGTCTTTGATGTTGGAAGGCCCTGTTTCTTAGTCATTATTTTTTGTGTCTTTTTCTTCCTCCATTTCCACTGCAATAACTTTAGAAGGCTATATCTGATCATCAGAAAACTTACCACGAACATTGCGTTGACCTGTGAAAAGAAGCCTGTTGATCTTGAGCCTGGTTCTACATCTAATATGGTTGCCAGGTGACCATATTGGATTTCGTTGTAACTGTGATAAGTCTGAAATTCGTCGACCAATCTTCGCGAAAGGCGGTATAGATAATTTATAATCCTCTGTGAAGAAGCCTATTGATTTTGAATCCAGTCCGAGATCCAAAAAGAATATTAGGTGGGCATCTTGGATTTTCTTGTCACTGCAGAACGTCCAGAATGCCTCAACCAATTATCATGACAGTTAGTATAGACAATAAATTTGTCTGTGGAAAGAAACCTATTGATTTTGAGCCCAGTTAATATAAGCTATGTTGATATCTTAGAAAAAAATGAATGTCCTATTATTAGGAATACTGGACTTCTAGTTCTGGGATTTTGTTACTCAATTCTCACAGAGAAACATTGTTGGAAGTCAACAATATACGAGCAAATGTCAGAGTGAACTGTTTTAATTGTTGCTAAGCGCAAAGCTACACAATGGTCTTATTGTGAGCTGCCTACCACGAGTATCGAAACCCAATTTTTAGCGTCGTAAGCCTGCAGCTTTACCATTGTTCCACAGAAGGGCTCAGAAAAACTATTAACATTTGCTGAAGAAGTGTTTGTGATAGTAGGGCATGACAAGAGGGCTGAACTTTTTGAATTATATCTCAATAAAATAAGATTGAATGCTAATAAAAATTAAGCTTTGTCCATTATCCATACACATACCAGTTTATAATACAAAGTACTCCAAGTCTGTGTTATATGTAAGCAGTAAGCCTATGTCGTCTAAAAAATGAGGTGTTCTAGTTATATAACCTTAATATATTTTATTATGATAGACATTTTATACAACACATTGACAGAGATTTTTGTTTCTAATGTATCTAGTGAATGTTTTAAAAAAAGGTTATTTTATGGAATGTTCCCACTGCAAGTAATGAGTGTAGAACTCCGACTTCTGATGGGCACGACCAAAAATTATACAAACCCGTCACCTAACCTTATTTATACATTTAATGAATCTTTCCAAAGCGCTCGGATTATAGGGTTTTATCGTTTTATTTAATGGAGGAGTTACTGTGGTGGGGTTCTCAATGAAGTTTACTGTGCCCACCACGCTGTTGAAACCCAGGTTTTTAGTGTTATAAGACTTCAGACTCGCTGCTGAGCCACTTGGGGCATTTTATTTTTAATTAAGAAATTTAAGTTTCTATGATATTAAAATTTGAATTATAAACTATGTTTCGATGCCAGGTTTATTGGTATACATTAATAATAAAGCTGTTTAATTAAACATGGGCACTTTGAACCCGCCCGTATGTATAGTTAATTGATCTTGAAATTGCGTTGGGCGTTATAGATTACCTATAATGTTAATGTTAATGTCCCCACTGGGATAGCGTTAAGTATACGGATTTACAACGCTAAGATTATGGGTTAGATTCCCCTATGTGAACACAGCAGCTAGCCCGATGTGGTTTTCCTGTAAGAAAAACATACATACAAAACATACTGTCTGTTAATTCATTCCGAATTCCTCAACGTCAGATTAAAATGGATAAATATTTAATCAAATTACAAAGAGGAAAAGAAGAAGCAGAAAAAGTTGATTTAATGAAAAAAAAGTAAAACTTTTTAACCTGATTTGAAAACCGAAAAACACAAGAGGCCTCGTTTTGAATGTGCAGGATAAGAAAAGGAGCTTTCAAAAGTCGAGGTTATCAAATTTTACGTGGTTTGAATACAATAACAAACCAGACAGAACTTTGTGTTTTGTGTGCAAAACTATTCAGAAAAGAAGCTGTTAACATTTTTTTTTACAAAAGCTGGACCAATTTTTATCTAATCTGGATTTCAATATTGGAGATATTCATTTCGGGGTTTCCAATCACATGAAAACTCAACCTCCCACAAAGAAGCTGTAATTAAATATGCCTCTCTTCAATCTCAGGTAAACGTTTCTTCACTTGCAAGAAAGAATGCCAATCGACGAGAAATACACTACACAACATTTTGCGAGTATTAAGTA